ATAAATAGCTGAAGAGAAGAATGTTGAGTTCGATTGCGTGAAATTTTGCCAACCGAAAAGTTGTTATGTAATATAATGTAAATTTTTGTGGAGAAAAAGTCCTGATTACAAGTGATCACAAACAATGCTTTTGTTTTTAAAATAACTTCGTTATAAATTTCTTTTTCGATCTATGATATGTTGAAATGAATCACCAGAGGGATAAAGCATTGCATGGAGTTGAGGTGAAATACCTTAATTTGGTTGTGTGTCCAAAGTTTTCTTTTATTCGTAAGATTAATTTTTACTCAGAGATTAAGTAGTTTATGGGATTAAGACAAGTAGCTCTTAATCTGGACTAAACATTTTATTAAACTAACAGCAACAGTGGTTTTCAATTATGGTAAGCTGGGTTACTTAGGTTGAGGAAGGCCATACAATTTCAGGTATGATCTTGAATTATTATGTACACTTTTCCGTTATATTGTTGTAGCTGTATTTCGTTTTCGATTACTGTCATCTAAAAATCAGTTTGGTAACCTGTGACGTTCATAGATCCTTGATAAAAGCGTAAGCCGAAACGTCGGGTACAAGTAATTAGATATTTTTCTGAAGTTGTTTGTCGTCTTCATTAAATAATGGTCAGGGATAGAGAACCCTGTAATAGAATAATGCAAAAATACTATAGTATTTAACTGTATGTTATGAACAAAACAAATTGTCAGGGATAAGTAATCGTGTTTTTAAAAACAAGCAAAACGACTACAATATTTAACTTTGTGTTTGGAACATAATATATTTTCTCTGATACAGAAGTCTTTATTTGAAGCAAGCAAATGACTACGGTATTTAAATTTGTGTCATGAAGGAAATAAATTATCAAGGATACTTAACCCTGTATTAGGAAAAAGCAAAACGACTACAACATTTAATATTGAGTTATGAAGAAAATAAATCGTGAGAAATACAGAACCCTGTATTATAAATAAGCAAAACGATTACAATATTTAAGGATGTATTACGAAGAAAATGAATTATCAGGTATACATAAGCCTGTATTAGAAACAAGCAAAGCGACAAATATAATTAACTTTGTGTTAAAAACAAAATATATTTTCAAAAATACGGAACTCTGTATTACAAACAAGCAAAACGACTACATTATTGTTACGACAACGCAGGTCACGTGACTGTAGTCACGTCATGCAATTCTCGAACGTTCACGTCCCTTCCTGACTTATCGAGAGCTTACTAGATTCGGTATATATAAGACGGTCACAAAGTGACGGCAACAATGTGTAATTGAAATGAGTATTGTTGAGTCGAGCACGTGAGACGTTCTTTGAGA